TAACCCCCGATGTCCAGAGGCATATATCTGGCACACTTGTTGAGTTGCTTCCCTCTCTCTCTCTCTCCTTCCCCCTCTCTCTCTATCAGAGCAGCGGGAGGGAAAACAACTCCATGTGGCAAGCCATTTCATTTCTAATATCATGTGTGTGATCAATCTCCCCTGCAATGAACGGGCGGTGCAGTGGAGGCAATCATTCACCGTTTGTGGCAGGTATGCGGTATTGACCGAGGGAAGATGAACCGCAGGCCTCTCAATACGTGTGTGTGTGTGTGTGTGACAGAGAGAGAGAGGGAGGGAGAGGAGAGCTTGGATTTCAGCTTCCAGTTTTCAATACCTGCTTAGGTTTCTTGGATTTGTTTCGGAAACATTTTTTGAACATCATTTCGTGCCGTTACATCACAAGCAGTAACTACTGACAACCTCAAGTGGTGTGTAGTCCATCTGATCTGATTGCATTTAGAATTAAAAATTATTTGACATTCAGTCGTCTTCCTTAGTGCCCCTTCCCTCCCTCAAAGTTCTTGCTGATAACTCCCTGCCATATTTAACGTCCTTAAATATCAATTATATAGTCAAATGGCTTGCCATAATTGAATTTGTGCAGTGCACTGACGTCCCCTGTTACGAATCACTGTCTTGTCCAATTAAGAGACGCCTTTTTATTGGCCAAATTGCGAGTAGCCCCATTACTGTGGGGGGAAGATTCCATCCTTTAACTGACATATTAATGCTGACATCCTCCCAGCCTTGTGCGTTGCTATGGGTGTGACGACTGTAAATTGAACCGACTGTCATGATGTCCTTGATTCTTCCTCCTACAAGAGCGAAAAGTCTGGGAAGAGGGGGAAAAATATATGTTGTGGACGTACTGTAGCGGCAGTAGATAAATACACAGGGACAGACGGATGATGAGCGGCTGCTCTCTAATGGGAACCAAGGTCTTGTTGCAGTGGCGGGTTTTATTTACAGCTCCTCTTCATCAGAGTGACACGCCGGGCCCTCGGACCATCCTTAATAGAAACTAGAAGCAGAGACGGGATGCTGGTTTCTATTTCCGAATGGGAACGCATGCTATTTACATGTGCATGGATAACAGAATGATACATGTACTGGGAGTGAGTGTTATGGGCAATGCATTGCTGGAACTACTGGGAGACTGTGGAAAGGTAAGCGTCATTTGTCTGGGGACTCATCAATGTCTGGAGAAGAAATGGGGACTAATGAGTGCACAACAGAGGGGGGGAGAGAGGCTAAATCTGTCTCAATCAATGTCAAGGAATATGATTGTGAATCCACAACTGTCATCAGTGTTCACATGGGGAACCCGAGTTAACAGTTTGGTTAAGGGCTGACTTTTAGGGAATGTTAAATAGAAAGGTTTCCAGCACTGCAGCAAGAAACCTTTAAATGCTGAGGCAGACAATTGGTGGAACAAAAAGCTGAAAAGTGGTTTGTATTTAAAAAAACATAAAAAAGAAACAACAAGCGATTGCTCAGAATAAACTGAGCTATTGTCCCTGCAGTGTCCACAGGGGTGGACGCTGTCCCTGGTTTGCCTCATTAGAAATCAACCATGAACAATAAAAACTCTTGACAGCCCATTTTAGAGTGGTTTCATAACTGCCGTGTTGATCTGGGACACAAAACACAATATTTCAGTTTTTCTTACAAATCAGATGAACGGTAAAATACATCAGGCGTGGACTCAGAGGAAATTCACTGAACATAATTGACGTTTTGGCCAAACCAAAGAAAGCTCAAATGTTGGCCTTGTGGTTCCTGTGACGAAAAGCCAACAGACGTGCTGCAAAAACGCTAGTTAGCAGTAAATCTCTTGGGAAAAGAGGGAATCCTGATGCCTGGGAAGTACAGGAAGCTGCAAGGAGTATGTGAATACCAAAGATAACGGGCATGGCAGAGTTCACGGCGTAATGCAGATGAATAGTGATGCCCATGGAATGAATAGGGAAACTACTACAGTGTTCAGGAAATGCTCTGTTTAATGGTTTGTGCAATACGTGTGCATGCCCTTTTTATTCGATTCTGTATTCAGGTCCTCTAAAAGTCCTCCTCAGTACCCTCCGAAGCTCTTTCTCACTCTGATTGTATCCGTGTTCAGAGGTGAGAAAAAGAATAAATACATATTTATTACTTCAGAGTGCCAAAAGTGAGACCTTACATGAACTCTCAAGTTCTATTTCATATCAAATTAAACGCAGCTGTGTAGTGCACAGAAAGATGATTCGGCTCTTTTAGTGTAGTAAGTAACCAAACACACATCGATCGTATAGTATGGCACAAGTGGCCAACAAGGGAGCTGATTCTGTGTTTAAGGCAATAACAGCAACTGAGAACATCTTTAAATAACCAAGAGTAGCAAGTGCAACAGAAATAGAACAACAAAGCTAGTCTTTGTCCATGGATTACTCAAATCCAGAAAGAGATGCAGTATAACTCACTTTTGATTGTTCAGATTGAACAAACAGATTTCCTTCTCACTCGTTTTGCTAACCAGCTAGTTCTTACCCAGTGCATTCATACAACTATACGGACACTGGCCTTGTAAAACAAAAATACATACAGTGCCATTACAACATTGTACAACAGAAGACAATCCCTTAGAAACAGGGGGAGCAAAGAGATTATGTCTTCATCCATTTGTCCGAATGTGATCATAAACACGGACAATAAACCAAAATGCAATGCAGCCACAAGATGTTCTATGCACGATGCATGTCTTCAATACAAAATATCTGCTGGAATGACTCGTACGTCGTGGATTCAACATCACTGACTGATAGTATACAACAACGTAAGAGCATTCAAGAGTGAGGTTTGTACTTCAACATCTGACTTTGTTGTGCTGTTTTAAGCAGAAATATACATAATTATTCTGTTCGCCCAACCATTCAGGCCATATCAGCATTCTCACAAAGAGGAGCCACAGCAGAGGACAAATGGATACGTTCTCCTACTTATGCATGCTGAGGATTAGTATGGCAGATATGCATTGTATGTTTTTGCACTGTTCCACCCCGACTACAAATGCAGACAAAGCATTACTCAAAGACGTGTGTTTTGAATTTAATCATCTACAGATAATAGCAGTGCACATGCAGCACTGTGCAGGGGTTTCTGGAGTTGATGTGTGTGTGTGTGTGTTTGTGAGCCCAGTTAGAGGGAAAGCAAGTGCGATCGTGGATTCATTGTTCCTGAGGGAGTCAATCAAGCCATTTAGTTTCCTTTAATGGGCCGACACTTCCAGGTTTGATTGTCTACACTGAATTTCTTTTAACAAAGGTACGAATGAAAAACTATACATATTTACAATGTCTGGAGCAGCTCATTTTGTCTTGTTATAAATCAAATTAGTGATTTGTTTGATCCCCACACTATCCTGAGGAAACTGTGGATAAAAAAGCAAAAAGCTTTTTGGTTTAAATGGAATCACTGTGACAGTATTTTGCTCCAATAGGGGAAATAAACATTTAAAATAAAACCTGTACAGCTGCATGACCCAACCAAAGCTTAAATTGTGAAACATTGTTAGATCCTGCATAAAGAGGCCTTTCACAGTGGACATCACATATACAGTAAGTAGTCCCAGTTGATCAAAGGAAGCTATACTGCAAGAGATGTTTTAAGTGAGACTACGAGCTTGATGTTATCAAATATGACTAAATGAAATTGAACAGTTTTATCTCATTAACAAAGGAACCCTAAACCCTCAAAAACGGTTCTTTAAAAATATACCTGATACGACACCAGGATATTCACCTTCTCGCCCCCGCTGTTTCTTTCCATTCCATAAAAATGAAAGCAATGCAATTTCAAAGTGGCTTTCATTGCCCAGAATCCTGTTTATAATGGTGCTCTGACTCACAACCAGCGTGGCTTCTAATACAGCCATACAAGCTGAAAGAGAAGGAACAAAGGATGGAGGTCTAGCACGGATGGGGTGTTCATTTATCAGCGGACACGTTTCAAATCCTTGCCCCAGGCAATGGCTCGTGAAGCATCCAATGAGATAGCCCGTAGGGACTTCTGCTGGAAACGCAGCAAACCCTTTGATAAGCCTTTGGCCATTCCTGCACCTGTGTCTAATATGCATGGTAGAAACCCAGACGCAAGCAGCCTCTGGATAGAAGCCCCCCCCCACACACAAAAATGAATAAATAGAAATACTGCAAAAGATGTCCCATGTTAGCCAATGCTGATTGTCCCCTTTCCCCCTCATAGAAAGTAATGACGAGAGTCTCGGGCTATTAGTGCCAAGACAATGTAAATGCTTGGATATAACTCTAAAGGCCACAGCTGCATCCTTCGAGGCACAGTGCCTCGTGGATCCAAAAAGCAAAAGCTATTGGTTTGCTTCCTCTCTGCAATACTACTGAACTGAGTTGCGTTCATTGCATCCACTGGCTATGTTTGGTTGTCAAAGAGAATGGAAACACATATTTAAAGAAAACAAAGCTAACACCAGAGTGTTATTAACTCCAGTCTGCACTGTTACAAATCTGATTCAAGCTGCAGATAATGAAGACGGAACATATGAATCGTTCACACAAACAGACGATCCGAGTAGTTCATGTGATCTCTCACTATGTATCAAGAAGTATGTTGCAAACCCTTCAAGGATGAACAAGCCTGTGTTCTTATTTTCTTCTACAAAAAATAAGAAAACCACATTATACCATGCGGTGAAATATGCCACCGTCATTCTCAGAACTTCAGATTGATTGGAGTGTTTGTGGACTTCAAAATAAAGCTGTCAAAAGACAAGGCCATGTGATCCCCATGTTGTTGACCGATTTGTGCTTTCAGACAAAAAGAAAAGCATTAAAGTCTTAACAGGGCCAAAGATTCAAACATGTTTCAATGAAAGGGACACCGGAAGTAAAATAGAAATGATTTGGAATTTGTTTTTTCAGGACCTTACATCATTAGAACAAAAAGGAAGGAAGATACAATAGCAGCGGTAAAAAGACAGGACTTACCTGAGCCTCTCTTCGACACCACTTTCAGGCAATGGACCACAACGGCATGAAGCAGGATCAGAAGAGGAATGGGAGCTTTCATTTTTTACCAGTCCTACAAGGAAACAAAAGCTGGATTTATTATTCTGTACCGACTGTGAATACACTAATAATCCATCCAAAACATCAAAAAAAAGAAGAGATAATGATTTTGGCAGGAGATGCTCGATCAAAGCTCAAAAATAAAAAAAGAAATTACAAAAACTGCAAGTGAGCCAATAATTACAGAACTTTTACAAGACCTAAGGTCAGCTGGAGAAAATCCAACCCGCCTATGTGCAATTTCTGTTCCCCATAGTGTTTGTCTGCCTCTGCTATATTTATACCAGTGGCTCTTAAGGGAGCTACTGTATAATCAGGGGGAGGCTGCTGGTGATACAAATGTCAAGATGTATCTCTATCAAGACCAACCTGGCTTTGCAGCTTTGTCATCTATACACAAACACTAATCCCACTTTTCTCCAAACCAATCACGTCCCCACTTCGATCATATCTCTGTGAACATGCAGCGCTTCATACACTCAAGTTTAATCTTGGTCTCATTGAATCTAATATAAAATAGGACTAGCATTAAGTTCATTTAAGTTTTAGTCACAATTTAGCCAGATTTTACTCATTAGTAAAACGCTGATTAGACCCTCCGTGTAACTATAGAATTATTTTTGTTTGGTTACTGGTTCATCTCCTTGCTACAGGCAAAAGTGCAATCTCTGCTGCGGCTCAACAAGATGTCCATGTATGCTACAAGGGCGCTTCCATTGGCATTTCAGTCACGACAAAGATGCTTCACATAGATTCCACAAAGCTGCATCAGAAAGCCTTTGAGGGGAACCCCTGAAAAGCCACAATAACCCTTGAGAGACTCACAGTGGCATTCAAAACTGGCCAGTGGCCAAAGATGGCGACATTGCCGCGTTCACCTCGTCAAAGGGGCCCATTGTCGTCAGCCCAAGCTTTCTGCAACCAATGCCACCTCAGAAAAGCTAAATGCCACCACACAAAAATCTTATCTTTTTAATTACTTTTCCATGTTGGGCGCCAGTCTGCAACATGAGCACAAAAGCTGTGGTTCTTTGGTTTCAACACAGTGGAAACGACTGAATCCCCAGTTCTGCTCAGTATTCCTCCAGCTCACAGTGACATCCTGGACTGGTAGACATTGAAGCAAGCACTTACTATCCCTGAAGAGGTTAACAACATGCTCTTGCGATGCAGCCAATTCATTTTTTTGTTGATACCAACTATACTGATGAGTAAATACACTAAGTCATGTTCTGTTGGGTACACTGATCATACATTATGCCTACACGTGTGCAGAGAGCAAGACTTGTGGATTATGGGATTAAATATACATGATAACATGACACAGTGCTTTGTGTTAAGCTCGTGTGCAGCCGTTGAGGGGAAAATGGCTCCGGAAGTAAGTTTCAGAAAGCCGTTTCAGAGGACACTGATCTCAGTTCAAGTTGTCCCAAAAAGGTTAGTTGATTTTTGAAATGAAGCTCTAGCGTAAGTTCAGACAGGTAGATGTATGGCTTTATATTGTTGCCGCTCAGGGCAATCACAACTCAATCACAAATCTCCTCGTCGAGTTCAAGCGCCAAAGAATTTCTGTGTAACTCATGAACGCATCATGTGTCATAATAAATGTTAACTAATCATTCACTTGTCTCTCCTGATTGAAATACAAGTATGTTATATAAAGTGAAGCACTATCGGCAAATAAAATGCTCAATTGCAGCTGCTCAGTGATGGTCAAAGAAAACAATAGATGGAAAAAAAGAGTGTCAAATGGCTGCGTACCGTACATTGTGGCATATTAAATAAATGGTTATGCGAAAGGAAAAGTGTCATACAACATCATCTATACTAAGTAAACAGTAGAGACTATTTTCAGCAAAATTTGCTTCTTCAAATGTCTTGTTTTGTTTTCCCAACAGTCCACAACCCAAAGAGATTCCGTTTACGACCACAAAAGACAAAGAAAAGCAGCAAATCCTCACGATGGATATGCTGGAACAAGGGGATGTTCCGTATTTCTTCTTGAAATTACTTTAATTTAATCGTCTGTCAAACAACTCATTGTTTCAGCTCCAGAACAACAATATTTAATGCCAGATGTGCAGCACGTGGAGCAGAGAAAGGTGAGATGAGTGGCATTTGTGACATTCACCCTCAGCGGAGTCTCTCTCACGTCCGCCGTACACACGAGTGCCGTGCAGGTCCTCGGAGGAAAGGGCTCTGTTGGATCTAAAAGGTGTGCAGCTTATCTGGCAGCGACACACGTATTGATGCGAACAAATACATGATTGCCCGCCACATGTCCATACGGTTGTTATTTGCGTTGTTGTTATTGAGATGCCCCTCAGGGCTCCACTTAACGCTTACTCTATGCATCCATGATGGCTGCTTACAGTCTAGCGCCTGTGATGTCATGCACTTCCGCCAACTCAACTGAAAGCCGCTTCTTTCGGCTCTCAGTGAGGCCCCGATGACGCATATTACCCTTTGTTGATACGCTTCTCCTGGTTGCTGTGTGTACGTGCCTACACTAGAGGCTGAAGAGCTGCTGCAGTTCCAGCAGTTCACAATTTAACTACTGATTATACTGATGACTTGAGTCTCTTAATCAACTGGGAGTCGGCTCGCAAGAAAAGAAGGGGAAAATAGTCTGATTGTTCAAGATGGAGGTGCATAAAGCTTGTGGCCGGCAGGAATGTTTGAATAAACATTACAGTGATTTAATTGGGCTCCTTTACAGCTAGATTTCTGCAATGCTTCATCAAATACACTAAATATCATTAAGATTGACGATGTGCTTTATCTTTCATTCCAACTGCAACTCCATTCCATTGCAACTGGAGTGTATTTAAGGAGATGGCCACCTGTTTGAAGAATTGAGCTACTTAAATGCTTATCAAGGTCAACCACTCAATATGTTATCAGTAATCATGAAAAGGGTGTCAATGTATTATTGTCGCTATCGTCTTACTTCTTGGCACATGGTTATTAGCCAGTGAGAAGTGAAAGATTCAGTGCAGCTGTCTAACTGTCAGAGATATGATCGGGAACACAATGGAGCAGGAAAAGAGTTATCCCCCTTCAACAAATGTCCAAAAAATAAAATGTGAAATCAGAAAAAAAGACCTTCCTCAACAATGCCACAATGAAAGCTTATCCTGTCAAGCATCTCAACGTGTGCCATCCTTTAAAGAAAAGCTCATCCAGAAGGTGCTGTCACCTGCCCCTCATTCTTTGATTGTTTTTCCCCTCAAGCATCCACTCTCTCTCCTCCCTGACAGCGTTTCCTCCTCAGCGGATTCATCCAAAATTCAATTACTTTCGAGGAGGGTTCAGCAAGAGAAATGGGGCACTCTCTCAACACTCCCGGGGCTCGGAGTTGGCCCCGAGGAATGCATCTCCCTCTCGCATTCGCACACAAACAATTCCAGCGATCGACGACCGAGGCTTTAGCGCTTTACCGCAGCTCGCCAGGTGGATATTCAGATGATGATTTATGCGGATCTCTCATTTCAAGTCTATCTTGCTCCATCACACATCTTCTCCAAAGGCCCTCGTGCTCAATTCAAAACCACTACTCATATCTGACGTTTCTGGATGAGTGTTGGTATCTTTGTGGAATGCGACCAATATCAGATACCAACAGGAACTGACAGCAAGCGGCGATGACGGATATACGCGTTTGTGCCTACACTTCTCACGCTTGTTTGGTAAACATGTCAGTTGTGTGCCTTGGAATGTGAATGGAATCGAGAGGGTCAAACTTTTGACATTCTGCTTCTTGTTCCAGTGTTGATTCTCGTTGTCCTGCATGCAAACCCTGGCTGAGTGTCTCAATTATGAAATGCTGTCTTATTGTCTTGGCAACAGTGACCCGTACTGTCCATTGTATCGTGTGAGGAAAATGGAATTTATTAATTTATAAGTGCGTGAAATCTTTTTTTATTTATTTGTTTTAAAGGAGATGTCAGAAGAGCAGTTTTCTATTAAGATCCCAGCATCCCTGGCTGCTACTCTATGTTTTACTAATTCTGATCTGAGCTCTTAAATATTCTGGCTCACATGCCTTGAATCACACTCAGATTGGAACAAAAATAAATAAATTAGAATTGCGAACACTGTAGTTGCAGGATGAGTTTACACCCTCTCTGTCTCTGTCATTACCCCCCACTCCCACCCCCACCCCCACCTGCCTCTCCCCATGTCACCTCTCTGCCCCTTCCGTCCTACCACCAGTCAGGATATTGATATGTATTCTGCTTGGTGAGTTATTAACATTTATATTTGTGAGGAACACTTTTATAGCCCTTACACCCTTGGCTGATGCACACACACACCCACACGAGTCTGTGCTCTCCTCACTGAATTATTCCATTTTGGATTATCTAATAACCCGGCAGCCACGAGCCTCCATGTTCTTGACATGCACGCATGAGAGACAGAGAGAGGAGAGGTCACTTCTCGAGCACAATCGGCATACATGTTCCACACCGTAAATGTCCTTGAATTAAATGTTTCTTCCGCGTGAGTGTAAAAATATGCACTAAGTCCACGTCCTCCCTGACAACAGTGAGAATAAAAACAGCACAAAGCATCAAGAGCACAATCAACAGATGAAAAAGGAAGAACCAAAAGAGACACACTGTGTGCAGCAGCGGCATGCATGTATATTTCTTTCAGTGGCTAATTTGTCTCTGTGTGGTGAGGATGAAACAGAAGACATATCGTTTTAAAAATCGTTCATACTTGACCACAGGCCCAGACGTTGCTTTAAACTATGATGATGGTAGTAGTTGACTATCCAGCAACAACATGTTGCCACAGCTCTCTATATTTCTACGGTGATGCAAAAACCATTACTTATCAGGGCTATTAACAGGATTAGCTTGGATTATATAGTCATGTAAATGTTGAAATATATCATGGTCTAAATATGGTTTAAAAGCCTATCATTGTAGGAATATAATTATGATGGAGAAACACCAAATACCGTGAATGTAACATATTTTGGGGCTAAATAAATAAAATCTGACA